TAAAAGGTTTTGGAAGCAGCCGCCACAGGCTAATAACCAAGGGGTCAGGGCAACAATGGGAAGTGTTAGCAGAAGCCAGCTAAACTTCTGAATGCAGCAGTACCCCCTGGGAAGGAGGCTGGATCTGGTCCCGCAGAACGTTCTTGAACACTCACATGGTGTGTGGATGGGCAGAGACAGGCTGTGGGGTCTACACAAGCGGACTTACTGCAGAAAGCAGAGCCACCCATGCTTGAAAACTCCGTATCGGCAACAGGCACTATCCCAAGACCAGACATCCCGCATGACACCAACTGACCACACTAGCCAAGCCCCTGTGCCACAGGTCAGACACCAGCACTCAGAGCCAAGCAGCTTACAGCCAACCACACCACTAGAGGCCAGCCAAGGCCTGGTCACTCTCTAGCCTAAGAGGAGTAAAAAGGGGCAGAGACTCAGCAGGAGTCTGGGTATTTGCCCAAAGGGATGGAGCTTTTCAATTGGAGGGTAACTGACACCATTCATAAATTTGGCTGACAGCGCCACTGGATTCCACCACATTTACTGGAATAAGGTTGGCTATTTAGGGAACTCAACTCAGACTTTCAGTCCACTCTTTTCAACCATCTCAAGAGGAACAGCCTAGGCTTTGAAGACGACAGATTTGAGCGCGAGTCCTGGTTACATCACTTGGGTTAAGACTTGTCTAAGTTCAGAAGTCCCCTCCCCCGCTGTAAGATGCGAGCCAAGTGCGCACAAGCCAGGGCCTGGCTCACAGGAAGTGCTCACATGAGGCAAAAGCAAGCCATTGTTCCAGAAAGGGGTTCTGGGAGGCAGACAGGAGGGACAGACAAGAGGGGAGAGGCCAGGACCATCACACCTGTGCCTCACCCTACCACACTTCCTATCAGGGAAAGGCAAGAGAAGCAACTACATTCTCACATGAGTTTTGTGCAAGAAGGAGCAGGTAGTAGTGTAACTCCTTTGACACAAATCTCAAGCAGTGTAGGGCACAGGCTTAGGGCCTGGTATCGCCCAAATAAGGCTTGACTTCAGCCAGTTAACTCAACTTGGTCCTTAGAGAAGTCATGTTTTAGGTACCCGCACGATGGTTTTAAGAGGGTAACTTGAGTTAGTGTATATTCCCTGAACTGTGTGACTAGTTTAAAACTGTACTAATTATAGTGAGTTCTTGGAAGCACATCTTAGGTGTCAAGTAGGAAAATAAGCTATGTCCAAGGTTCCATGACTTGCAAGGATTTGTAAGCTACCTACTGCTGGTTACAGGTGTTCACCTGCATGCATAACCCACTTCCTGATGGGCTGCTGCTCAGTTGATAGAGGCATTTACAGACAGGCCCCAAGAAGGGATACAGTGAACAAGCTCATCCAGGGTTGAGTAAGGAATTCACTTCTGGCCTAAATTTACAACCCAACAGTGAACACTTTTGAGTAACTGTGTAGGCAGGTCAGGGTCTGTGTTACACCAGTCATCTGATAGAGACATGAAGGACTAAAGCATAGAGAGATTTGGGGGTGATGCCTCAGCTCTTCCCTTCTGAAAGGGCAGCCCTAGGGCCCACCTTAGACTTCCAGGATCAAAGGTGGGTACCTGCAACTTCCCTAGGTTTCACCACCACCCCATCAGTTGATTACAGAGGGACTCAATCCAGCTGGGACTATTTGAGAATTAAGATGTGAAAAGCCCACTGGGTACCCAAAACATTGCAGGCAGACTCAGGGGCAGTGGGCAACCAATTCCTACCACAGGTCAGGCTTCTAAGCATGCCCACTGGCAACCACTTGCAGAATCAACACCTGGCATAGCCCCCCCCCCCTTCCTGGGGGCTCAGGGCAGTTGAAAGAACAGGGAAGAGGAAGTCCTTTCCTCAGTATGACATGAGCTTCGAAGTGCGGAAGTAGGTTGATAGGACTTAGAAGCTTAGGATTGTCCCCATTGCTCCATTTTTGCTCCCTGAAGTTTCCAAGAGCACAAACCTTGCACATCTCACATTCCCAGTTTATGGAGCCCAGAAACAGGGTTTAGAGGCAAAGCGTGCTCAAAGCACAAGGATGACTCCCATGAAACCATGCCCCAGGGCTTGCTTCTGCTACATAACTAAGCACTCAGAACTGACCCTAAACTCATTTCCTCGAAGGAATGTTAAGACCAACACCTGATGCCAATTAAGTGCTACCTTGAGTTACCCAACTCGAGCAATTAGAGCTGGTTTACTTAAAACTAGCCCCAGTTGGATCCAGTTGGCATTTTCCTCGATGAGTACTTGTTCGAAACGTTACTTTAAGCAGTATGTTTAAGAACATGCTAGTTTACACTTTGGAATTAGGTGCAAAGTAATGACACATTCATATTGCTCATTTCCTCAAGAATGTAAAAATTGGCTTTAGATTTTCCAGAATTTCACATGGGGCTCACTGGACAACTGTGGTCCCTGCTCTGTTTGGGGGAGACAGACTAACAGATTGATCTCAGTCTTGGTAATGAATGTAATAGTATGAAAGTATAGCTTAAGAGGCATCTGTGGGAAGACCCAGAAATAGGTGCAGCAGCCCCAAGGCAGGTGCACGGCAGGACAACTTAGTGGACTACCTGTTTGAGCCAGGCAGGGGCTAGGCACTCCAGGACCTAGTATACACAGGAGGGTGCTCGTCTTTGAAGAGATAGGGGGCCAAAGGCTGACCAGGTTTAAGTCATTCTGATTGTAATGAGTGGCTCCAAGTAGATGTAGTGGATAACTGGTCAGGAAGTGGCTAAGGTAGCCCAGGTGAGGTGAAGCCATGTTAGTGAACTAGAACAAATAAGAGATGCAGACATTCAAAGTGACGATTTGGTGAAGGCTTGCGTAGGGGTGAGTGAAGTTTCTGGTTAGTGAAGCTGGAGACTACTGGAAAGGCCACCCCAAAAAACAGGAGAGGGGAAGGCGAGTTCTGTTTCATTACGGCTGCAAGTTGGGCTTCACTGGGTGCCTATGAGATTCCCAGGGAGAAGCCAGGGAGATTACAGCGATGAGGGCAAAGAAAAGTGGGGGGCCAAGACACCAGGGACACCACCATTACTGGGTGTATTATTCAAGGCATGGGTGGGGACTAGGAATGAGCGTCACTAAGCCCCAACAACTAAGACAGATTTATACCCCAGGAAGAACTCAGGAGTAGACACCTTGGTTGCAGTCCCTCTCCTTCCAAACCCTGTAAATTGCCAGGTCTACCCCGTCTTCAGATACTGAATTTTCACAGCAAAGAACTCCACCCCACTCTAGGACTTCAAGCTCCAACATGTAATTTCCTCTGAAGCTAAAGAGAAGCCATAGAGCCCAGCAGCCAGGGGGTTGGAAGTGTGTCACCCAGATTTGCTTTCGTTTCCTTTATCAGTGTTAGTTCCAACAAGGCTAGAACTGTCAGTTCCAACAGTTCATGCACCCGAGTTGAGGTAACTAACTTGTAAGCGCTTGAAGCTGGCACCTCAGCTTCCCTCAATAGTCCTATTATGTAAATACACTAGGGTGGATGCAGCTGTAGCACTTGCTTTAACGGTCTCATTCAAGAGGTCTGATAATTAAAATCCTGGGTTCTCGGAGCAAGTACAGCCCTGCCTGTGGGCCATTTCTTTGCTTCAGGAATCTTAGCATTTTACACAAACACTTGACATCTTAGGGCCCCTTCAGTTCAAACTACCTTTCACGTCCATTTCTTGATCAGAAATTGTAGGTGAGGAGCATTGTCCAGGTGCCACGGATACTCTAGGTAGCCAGTAACATCAGGCGGAAGGAGGAACAGGAGTGTTTGCATAGAAGCAGAAGGCTGTATTTTAGGAGGGGATCAAGGCAGGTGAAACTCATTGAGAAAGTGATATTTGAGCAAGGTAGTACTTTGAAAAGACTAAATTAGATAGGTTTCTGGGGAGATTTTCAAGTAGGCAACAGATTGTGAGGTCAAGTACATTCCTGGAGCATTCTTAGCGCGCCGAGTACACCGCAACAAAAAACAGCAATACAGATAAGGGCAGTAAAGAGCCTGAAGCCATAACGGACCTTGGTTTTTTTACTTCACGAGACTTTGAGTCCCTGTAAGTTGAGGCTTTAAGCTGAGAATTACACTTCCACGTTAAGGATCACCCAGCTGCTATGTGAACACTGAGAAGTTAAGGAGGGTAGGAGCTTGAGGGGCCAGACAGGAAACTTAGGAGAGCCAGGACATTGGCTCCGTTCTGCAGAGTTAGGACCAAAGTGGCAAGTTATCAACCTGGGTACGTTTTAGAAAGCAAAGCCAAGAGGACTTTCAGCAGATTAGACAGAAAAGGAAAGTTGAAGAGCACTTCAAGGTTGGGTTATCTGAACATTTGAAGTACCCACAGGTGCTTTACATTTTCTGTTTTACCACCCTCCTCACTCCCTAACTGAAAGAAGGGTTGTACCCACCCCGAAAGGCGAAGCTTAAAGTATCAACTCCTCACAGCCCTTACTTCCCCACCACAGTGAGCCACTACCCCGACTATTAGAACTTGTAGCTTTCTGAAGTACTCCTGGTTTTCTTAGAACCTAGACCCTTTTCGCCCTTCTTGGCTTAGTTTTCTAGAAGGAAGTTTTACGAGAACCAGCGGTCGGCCCTGCAAGGCACATCCCTAAAGTTCACTGCTACAGCAGCGCTTCAAGGAGTGGGAACTCAGGCTTAGAAAAAAAGAAAAGAGGAAAGAACACCCCGTTTCCCGCCTGCACTCTGAGTTGCAAGACGCACGGCGGCAGCCAACACGAAGGACCCCGAGCGCGCACCACACGGGTACGAAAAAGGCTGCTTCAGGCTTCCAGAGCCTCCGAAACCCCCAGGGGAGCAGCCTCAGCAACCCGCCGGCCCTAGCTCACGAGAAGCACCGGACAGCTTCCCGCTCCCTGGCCGATTCTGAACGCGTGTGGCGTTCGCGCCGCCTTTTCACGGGGCTGCGAGGCGGGTTACAAACGTCACTTCCGGGGCGGGCCGTCGTGCGGGGCGGGGCGGGGCCGGCGGGGGGGAGGGGCGCGGCCAGGTCCGCGCAGGCTCGCCGGGGCCGCAGCCGCCGAGCTGAGCGCTTGACTATATATGGTCAAAGCTGGGGGCGAGCCGCGCGCGGGGCCGCGCTTCCGGGTTCGGGGCGTCCGCTGCGGCAGCGCGCAGGGCAGGCGCGAGCTGGCCTCGGAGCCCCGGCCTCGGACCGCCCCCTCCACGCCCGGCACGCCCGGCGCCGCCTTCCGGCCCAGTCCCCGGGCTCGGCCTTGGCGACGTCTGATTCGCAACGCGGGTCGGCCCCGGAGGCTCTCGGCGAGCGCGGCGCGGTAACAAGTGGGCGAGGATGCCGTACGAGATCAGTAAGTGCCGCGGCTCGGGGCTCCCGGCGGGCGCCGCGCTGCCCCGGCCCCTCGGCCCTCGGCGCGGCGGCGGGGTCTCCGGCGCGGGGGAGGGGTGCGGGCGCTGGCCAGCGCCCCGCCCGTCCGCCTGCCCTCGGGGTGCCGGGCGGCGATGCGCCTCCCGGGGGGCACCCCAAAGTTGGCGCAGCGTGCCGGGCCGGCAGAGCCCCGGGGTCCCCGAAGGGCCCGGCCGGGAGCGCCGACCAGGAAGTCGTGCAGTCTCCTGAGCTCCTCAAAGTGGCGGCCGCCCCTCCCGGCGGAGGCAACAGGTGACCGGCTGAGACCGGTCCAGGGTCCTTCTCTTCCCCATCGGTCCCCTCCGTCCTCTACCCGGCCTGGGGGGCGGCGAGGCAGGGGCTGCCCCTAATGTGCCCTTCCGCGTTTGTGTCTCCGCAGAGAAGGTGTTCGCCAGCCTCCCCCAGGTGGAGAGGGGCGTCTCCAAAATCATTGGCGGCGACCCTAAGGGCAACAATTTTCTGTATACCAATGGAAAGTGTGTCATCATAAGAAACATCGACGTGAGTACCCCATTCTTCCGCAAGGCGCTAGTTCCGTGCCTGCGCTCTGCCTTAGGAATTGGTGGAGTCTCTGAATTTCTCTTCCACGCCCTCACCTCCTGCCCAGTGGCCTGGGGAGGGAGAGGGTGCCACGCCCCCTCAGTCTAGGAGCCACACCTCAGGAGCCCAGAACAAGGTTTCAAGTTTGTCCAAGGCCATTTCCTCTTTTTCCTGATGGAGAAACTGAGGCTCAGATTAGTCTAGACCTTAAATGCGAGGGCTCTGGACCTGAGGGATCAGACAGACCCGGTCATCTGCTGCTTGGACCTGGGTGTGCCTGGGGACTTGGGCCTCTCTGAGCCCCCATTTCCTCATCTGTGAAATGTGACAATTTCCCCACATCCCCTGGCCACCTGGGCCTACTGAATGAGCTGATGCATGTCTCATGCCCAGCCGTGCCTGGTGCACAGTGAGCACTTGGTAAATGGCACTTGGGCTTACTCATTATTAATACCCTCGGTCTCCCTGTGTGGTAGAACCCTGGGTAACACCCCAGCCTCTGAACTTCAGCCTGATCTGCCACTGTGGATCTGAGCCCTGCAGCAAAAACAGGAACCAGTTTATTCACATGAATCATTCTCTACATGCACCCTGTACCCAGGCTTAAAATGTTTCCAGGGCCAGCTCCTCCTTGGGAAATCCTTGCAAATTCACGTTGTTCCTCCATAATTATTGAAGTGACCTAGTCTGCATGTCAGCCTCCCTGATTTCCAGGATTGCAGGTTTCTGTCTTCTCCCTTCTCAGCCTCAGTGATGGAAGGGGGATGGAAGCTGGAGCTGTCACCACGGCCACTTGGGAGGTTTCTCCTGTGCTGGGCCTGGGGATTCTGATTCTGTAGGCTCACAAGGGATGTCAGCCTGATTGCTTTGGTGGGTTGGGGTTGTCCCTGGTCAGGCATGCTTCATCTCCAGGAGCCTCACAGCTGGGTGAGAGAACGAAGGGCTCTGTGGGCCTCAGTTTCCTAGTCTGAGGTGCTGCTGGCTCTGCCCTGACTCTGGTTAAACCAGCCAGTCACTGCTGTTCCTCAGCTGGAAGACGGAGCCCTGTTTGGCAGTTGCTGCCCTGCCCGGGATTGCCGGGCACCTCAATTGAGGGGGAGGGTGTGAATGTGCTTTGAAGGTGCTAACAACTTGCTAGTCACACAGATTCCTAGAAAGCTGATCCATGCTTTCTTAGAACTAGGGAAACATCACTAAGGACTTCCATAGTAATGATCTGGAAGGCTCCAAAGTAAGGTCCTGCAATCTTGAGAAAATAAAAATCAACACATGTAAGGAGATACTCACTTAGTAATTTGACAGATGAAATGTGCTAAAATATTCTTGGGGATACAGAGGAGTAGAATATTAGGTTTTGCCCCTGACAAGGCCTGCCCACATTCATTGCAGTCCACATTCACTTCCAGGTAGGAGACCCCACATAAAGCTCCTGCTACGTGTCTGGTGCTCTGCAGGCTTCTAAAACTGCAACATCTCCTTTCACCCCCATGGGCTCTCACACTTTGAAGAGGAGTCAGGCATGGCAAGGTGAAGGAGGCGAATAACTAAGCCACTTCCAATGAAGAAGCTATTCACAGCCACGAACAAGCACCCCCTTTGTAGGAAGCTTTTCCTGACTTGTAAAACCCATTCTACTTTCTCCAGAGATTTTTTTTTCCCCTTTGAGAAGCACGGTTTCTCTCTGTTGCCCAGGCTGGAGCACAGTAGCCTTATCATAGCTCACTACAACACCTGGGTTCAAGCCGTCCTCCTGCCTCAGCCTTCCAGGTAGCTGGGACTACAGGCATGCACCATCATACCTGACTAATTTTTCTATTTTTGGTTCAGATTGGGTCTCGCTCTTGCTCAGTCTGGTCTTGAACTCCTGGCCTCAAGGAATCCTCCCACGTTGGCCTCCCAAACTGCTGGGATTACAGGCATGACCCACTGAGCCTGAGCCAGAGATCTTTATTCTTAATCTCTCCTTGGGGCTTGCTCTTCTCTCCTGAATGTGCACCCTCTTTCCCTTCTCATCTAAGTTTCTGCAGTGCTAGGACAGCATGGGATGCTGCTAATCTACCTCTCCCTGTGCCAGATGTAGGTCCTCAGTTTCTTGTTAGTTTGGTGAATGGACCATGGGTACTCAAGTAAAGGTATTTTTTATCAGGGCAAAGTATTCCTGGGGAAAAATGAGACATGAGTTCTCACAACCATTCAGGGCACCAGGAGGAAGATGTTCTAGTTGGAAAACAGGCTCAAGGAGGGAAGGTAGGAGGTTGAGACCAGACTATGGAAGGCCTAACTGATGTCTAATTGGCATCTCAGATTTAATGTACCTGAAACCAAATTTAGGTTTCCCGTGTGTCCTTCCCCAAAGGCCAGCGCCATTATTCCAGCTGTTCAGGCCCCAAACCTTAGACTTCTGTTGGACTTCCCCTTTCTTCAGTGCCGTGCTTAATTCTTCAGCAAATCCTATTGGTTCTGCATTCAGAGTATCTTCAGAATCTAACAAATTTTCTCTACCTCTGTTTCCATCCCCATCCAAGCTACCATCCTTTCCTGCCTAGATTATTGCCCCCCCCAAAAAAAACAACAACAAAGAACAGCCAAACTAGTCTCCCACCTTTCACCCTTGCTGCCCTGCGATCTGTCCTTAACACTGCAGCTAGAGTGGTCGAAACACAGGAGACGGGCATCCGACGGTCTCCCATGTCATGGTGAGAGCCAGAGACCTTACTGCAGTGGGCAAACCTCACCCTGCAGGTCCTCTCCTCTCTCAGCTCTGGGCACTCTTGCCTCTTTGCTGCTTCAGGAACATGCCACACATATCCGGACCTGCTGGTTGCTGTTGCCTGAGTATTCTTTCCTCTGGTGTCTGCAGGGCTTACTCCCTGTCTTCCTTAGATGTAAGTTCAGTAGGGGAGCTTCCCCCAAATGGAATTTCCATCCTCAGCCATCTCTATCCCTTAGTGCTGACAATAAATAGGAAGCAATTTGGCAGGCAGGCCTATGTACACTGCCTACAAGTGTACACAGGCTGTCTGCCCTGAGTAGGCATCAGCTCCAGGCAAGCAGGGCTCTTTCTCAGTTTCATTCATTGCTGTGTCCTCACACCTAGAAGAGTGCCTGGTATACTAAGCACCTACGGTAGGTGCTCAATAAGTTATTTGTTGATTGAAAGGCCTTGAAAGCTGGGCCAGGTTGGGCTGTGGAGATGAAAATAGGAAAGGCTCAGCGAGATTTAGATTGCTGGGCCTAAATCTGGTGGGATCCACCTTCTTTCAAAGCTAAGTACCCTTGCCGACTTTCCACTTGGAACTACCTCTGTCATTTATTTTGTTGACTTAAAAGTTGTTTAGTGACCCAGCATAATGGCACTTGTTAAGCTTGTAGAAAAAGGGTAGCTTTTTGTTCTTGGGGTTTTTTAATCTACTTATAACACAGCCCATTGCCTCCCCTGAAGAGGAAATTATCCTCTGCAGAATGAAAGCATGTTGTGATGGTGACCATCTAGACACTGAGTTTCCAGAGGGAGAGAGCTTCCAGAAGTAAGATTCCAGTGAACAGCATATACACCATGACTGAGATGAGTTACCCACTGAGAAGGGGTGGTTCATGCATGCAGGGGGCTTAAGGCAGGCTTCCTGGGAGTGTTGGCGCTTGTTTGGGTCTAAGGTGGTTCCTTCTAGCTTGTGTCGTCCTGTGGGCACAGCCTGGTAGGACCGTATTGCCTCTGCCTTCGGTGGCCTCTGTGCAAAGACTAGGATTGCTCCTAGTGGCTCTAAAGGAACCTGTTCACAGTTCTAAACTGCCAGTATCCCTCCCCTGTAAAAAGCCAGCTTTTGCCAGTGAGGTTCCCATTAGAGGCCTCTCGAATGCTGCCAGATACAGCCAGTGGATTTGCTATGCAGGCAGGTTTGGGACCTGCTTTGTAAAGTATCCAGTTCCTAGATTCCAGAACTGAAATACACATTTGGAAAAGTTATGTCTATAAAACTGATTATCAGGGGTGAAATGTTTACAGCAGTTTTGCTGTACATCCAAGTGTGGTGTCAGTGGGCTTGTCTCCTAGAACAGGGTGAGGACCAGTTTGGGGATGTTGAATTCTCTGACCAGTGTCACTTGGTGCAATCTTGAACCAGTCATGCACAGAAGCACCCCCCCTGTTTGTTCCCTGCAGGTTGGGGGTGGTGGCAGTGGGGCAGAGAGCTTGAGGACTGACCTTATTCCTCCCATCTAATTGCATGCCTGCTGAGTCCCTTCAGTGTGTCCAGGACACTCGTTGGCCTAATAGGGTACAAGATAGAGGCCCTGCTCAAACAGAGCTCGCTATCTTGGGTGAAATGAGTTCTGGGTGGCAGAAGGAAGTGGTGTGTTTGATTAATGCCGTGCCGGAAACATGCAGGCAGCAGCACCAGCTCCAGAGCCAGGAACCTCAGGGCCTTCTGTCTGACCACCTCACAGCTCAAGGAAGCAGAGAGCACCATGGGTCCTTCATCTCAGGAAAACCTGAGTGGCTGCAGGCACCAGTTGGGGGACGCTAGAGCAGAGGGAGCCAAGTCCGGGAGGCTACAGTGGATCTGGCTCTTGGCTACGGCACTGAGTTTGAGGGGAGACAATGCAACCTAGGCCAGGAAGGCCCTGCCCTGGTGTCCAGTGGTGGCAGGTGGCACAGGCAGCCCTGGGATAGCCCGGACCTGTTCGGGAGGTCACTGGAACCATTAAAGGTCAGGCAGACAAGTAACAAGATCAGATCTGCAGCAGAGAGAGAGTTCTGTATCTGAGATTTGAGGCGGGGAGAGCAATCAGGAAGCTGCTCAAAACTTAATGCATGGCCTGGGTGTGCTCATCTGGTTCGACTGTGCCTTCGTTCTTCACGTTCCCAGCACACATTCCCTACCCTGTCTTGCTGAGCCGTGCCTGAAAGCCACAGGGCCAAGATTTAACTCTGGTTCTCGGAGGGGTGATAGTGCCCCCACCTC